GTGGCATAGACAGATTCCACCAACGAAATTAGCCCCTGGTGGTATAGGAGAATCATGGGTTACGATCACAATACGACATACTCCTCACATGCACTTAAACATATAGGATCGCCGATGGATGAACTGCAAAATTATTTTATGGTACAATTGGCAATAAGATCTGTCGAGTTTACAACAAAATTTTTATAAATAGTAAGTTATGAATATAAGTATCAGTATCATCTAACAATTTGGAATGTTAAAAAATCTCTGCTGACTGTTGCCAGCCTTAACCCTCTTAAGGTTTGTGCCCTCTAGCGAGTCCAGGTAAAGAATACAATTTGACAAAAATCTCCAATGTAGTAGCAGACGGTAGATGAAAAAAAGAAAATTATTGAGTTTGGTGGTGAACATTAGTTTGACAGTAAAACTACAAATTAAATCAATTATATTAATTTTAAAATTTTATAATTCAAATTAACTTAATTTTATATTGGATTAGTTTGATTTTTTATTGGATTAAATCAATTTCAATCATCTTAATTGAATTGGATCAAATATGAACACTCTAATTGACTCTTTTTGTTTTCTTAAACCATAATATTATATATAGCAACTAATTTTATGATATAACATAAACTACATTATTGATCCTAAATTTTCATTATAAGTTTTTTATCATTTCCATCATTACTCTTATCTATTTTATGTTCCTAATATTCAATTTCATTTGTAAGCTCAACAACTCTAAATCATAAAAGGAAATTATACAATTTTTTGTGATAATAAAAAATCAATAGGTTTTATTACTTAAATACTACTCCCTCCATACTAAAATAATAGATTTTTTTGTTTTATCTTCGAATGAAAGATTTGAAAATAATTTTTATCTTTACTTATTTTATACTTAAAAAATAAGTAAAATTAAATATCTACTTCCATCAAAAAATAAATAATTAAAGTTAAAAGATAATTATAGAGTTAAAGTAGAAAAAAAACTATTTATCTTTCTCAAAATAAAAAAAATAACTATTATTTTGGGATAAATTCTAAATAAAAAATATCAATTATTCTGAGATAAAGAAAGTACACTAATTTTTTTGTTAGAATATATCTACTAACAAGTATAAAACAAAATTTTAAAATAAAATAAAATGAAAACTTACAAAACTTTAAAGTTGAAACCCAATATGGCAAGATATCACTACTGGAATTAGGGTATATTTCGATCAAGAATTTTGACCGAAATATTGCATTTTATGACCGAAAATGTATTATTTCAGTCAAGCATATTAACCGAATTGTTGGTCCGAGAAACCTCTGTATGAAATAGTATTTCGGTCATAATTTTATCTTGACCGAAATGAATTGTTTATTCAGTTAGTATAACTGACCGAAAATGGAGATGAGAAATTCATTAAATAATGATTACATTCGGACAAATAATTTAACCGAATAAAATAATAATTTTTTAATCAAACATTTCGGTCATTAAGCTTGACCGAATTAAATGGAGGGTTATTTTTTGGTATTCGATATAATTTTTTCGGTCAAATTTTTTGACCGAAATATATTGGTACAAATTTCACGCCTTTTTTTTTTTAAAAAAAAAAATCCCAAATTATTTCGGTCAATATGCTTGACCGAAATATAGTGGAAGAAATTTTCAAATTTAGGCGGAGAATATTTTGCGGAAAATTCACTTATTTTCGGTCAAGTAGCTTGACCGAAATATATACCCAGTTTTCAAAAAAAAAAAAGAAAACCAAATTAGTTAATTAATTTTAATATACATAATAAATATTAGAAAAAC